TCTATATTCTATACTCAACAATGCCCCACAGCTATTTTGCATTTACAAAAAGTATTTTTCATGTTAAACAGGCATTTTACACTCAAAATTGGAGTTGTCAAATTCATTTTCTGTATCACTAGCAATGAATTAGTCACAAACTTTTCTTTCATTTTAAGTGGTAGATACGTGTTTCCCCGATAATAAGACGGGTTTCTTTTGAGCCCAAAATAAGCATTTGGCATAATTTTCGAGGTGGTCTTATTTTTGAGGTGCAGGAAGTGGCAAGTGTGGTCACCGCATGGTTGCTGCTGTGCTGCAATATTTTCTGGGAGGGCTTATTTTCAGGGGAGGGTTTATTTTAGCACATGCACTCAAAAACCCAATTGGGCTTATTATCCAGGGAAAACGGTAGTCTTGTCTCTGATTTCCAGATTATCCTTTCCTAGTACACGTACTGAAAAACAAACACAACATAAAACAAAACCTGCACAAAATAATGAAAAACAAAAGGGTAACATTTTTCCTATTTATTTCATAGGTTCCAAATGAATAGAATACCTTGAAACAGCTATCAAAAAGCATAAAATCATCAACCTGTTCAACTGACATTTAGGTATAATTAATGCCAATGCTCAAATTTAACAATGCCATGCAGGCCAGTGTTACCAGTAGCATTAAGCCATATATTGAGAATGGTTTCATTCATTTATTTCACTGCTTTATATTCAAGGAAATGCAGTAAAGCACATGAATCAGTTTGATGCCTCTAAAATCACAGTAATATTTAGATGATCCATCAAGAGATAATGTGTTGCTGATGTAACTAATGAAAAGTTTATACATAATACTGTTGCTCTTAACTTCTGTGGTCCTCCTCATAAGAACTCTGTAATATTATTCTATATCACTTAGTGAATTTTGTCACTATGCAGAGATCAAACCCATCTCACTGATCAAAGTCCAGTGCTCTTATTCTTAAATAATCTGAAATCTTGTGGCCAACATATATATCTAATATAAATAACATAAATCACACTTAATAAAAGCTTCAATATTTTGGGTGGATCAGATATAGATTTATTATTATTACACAGGTGCAATAAAAACATTTAGTTACTTCTGAATAAATTGACCAGTGGAGTGTTTGATAATTACGTGGGAAGAAAATATCTAAGTTTGCTAAGAACAAATTCTAAGCTTTCCTAATACCTACTTTGTGAGAAATTTGTTTTCAAGAAAGCAAGACATAAGATGCAATCCTACAACTTTAACTAAATCCACCAAATGCATATGTAAACAGAGTGTAGATCTGCTTCTATTATTTAAATATTTTTATTTACTGTTTACCAAATAGGTAAACACAGCACCTGCAGAGAAGAAGCTATAGATACAGTATGCTTAAGAATGTTTTCTCTAGAATCTTTACAATAACTACAACACTGATCATATGGTTTTAATGGCTAAAATGGAACAGACCTAGTAGGAAGAAATGGCCAATACTCTGATAAGGTATGCCAACTACCGGCAAGCAAAAACACTGAACTGAAATGCTTAATAGTGGTTATGACTATGTATTACTGGCTTTGCCGCTACATATATGGAAGGCCATTTCCCATGCCCTCCGCACCAACTTAAACTGACCTTCATAGCAGAACAGGGATTTAAAATACAGTAGGAGGAAGCAGTGTATGGTCTACAGTGTATAGCCCTAAACCCTTCTTTTCTGAGCACCTGAACTCTGAGATGAAAATTTGGCAGTTTGCAACTGAAACTGGCATAATTCTTTGTATAGGTAGGAAACAGACTAAAATTACTGCTTACAGTTTAAGACTTTTATTATGTCGTAAAGTCTACTATATTAAAAAAATCTACCTTCTCCCCCCTTAAAAATCTAGTCCTAGTGATTTACATGATGTTCTCCGCTCATTGCAGTCCTATCTATCAAAATCCCTCCTTTGCTACCTATGAAAGTTTGACTGCACCTGTTATAATGGGCAGTTTAGTCTTTATAGGCTGGATTTGCTCAGCGTGCTAATTTAGACTAAAAAGGTGTGATAGTTTGTAGGTCTGCATCAGGGGTGGGTTCTGGCTGCCGCTATTGCTGGTTTGCTAAGGGACGTGCATGTGCGTATGAGTGCTTGATGCATGCTGTGCGCATATGCATAGTGCAAAAAAAATGCTTTGCACATGCGTGGAAGGCAAAAACAAGATGGCAGCACCTATGGTGGCACCGAGAGAACCAATTCAGGGGCGTGGCAGGCCTGGGTCGCTGTCAGTTCCACCAACCCAGGCCACCAAGTTATTACCGGTTCAGCTGTACCGGTCCAAACTGGTAGGAACCCACCTCTGCATGTTATAAGAAACTCATCAGTGACTTAATATGTTGTATGAGCCTGACCAGCCATAATATGATTTAATTTGCAGAGGCATTATATAAACCATTCTTTTGTTAATCTACAGTACATCTAGAACATGGCTTGTTGTATAAACTCAGTTAAAAACTTTCAAAACCATTCAAGACTTTGGCAGAAAAACAATAACAGTACTGGATCACTTTTTTTTTAATACAAGCAAACTAAAATAGTAAAACAGAAATTCTGTACTAAGACAATATGTACACTGTACGGTCTCATTTGAGAGGAAACTGCATTGTTAGTAGGGTATAGTCATCTTTATATACTGCCTGGATGTCTAAGCACTCCTCAATTCAGAGACTCTTTTTTTACTCATTACACTATCAGTTTTGAAATGAGTATTTGAGGGCAATTCCATATAAGGTACTTTTATTAGCAAATGGGTGGAGGAAGGAAGCCACAACAATTTTTCTATTACATAGATGGATTAATTTAAAGTTAATTATATTTTGTACTTCTCAAATGAGGGAGGGGACATTTTCAAGTCAAGTCAAATAATTACGTCCTTACATCATACAGTGGTATAGGCATCAATTTCCAATCTAGCATATGGAAAGATTATTATAAAGCCATAATAAACTGAAAAAGAGAAATAAAAACAATCTGTTCTTGATTTCTGCTTTTCTCCTGGTTTCTGTTCCAGTTTTGTGATGAATGACTATCACATTGTTATTTGGAGCATATAAGATATTGACAAAGCACCATCTTGGACTATGTTTGTTTACACTGGAGTCAGGTTTTGACTTACAGGGAGGAAAAATAATGTTCTCAACTCTACTGTCTTCCCACCCTCTTTTCAAATAGAACTAACATATGCATATAAAAGTTAAAATAAAGATAAATTATGAACACATGAGTTGTTAACTTAAATTGTAGCTGCAATCTTAAAATGTATTTACTAATGAGCAAGATTAGCGGAATACTTCTGAGAAATTATGCATGATAATTATTCTTTAACAGGTAAATAGTATCTAGAACATATTCCAGTTAACAAACCATCTGCTGAAACCATTAAGATGAATGAGACTTCTAGAAACATATCTACACACTGTATTAAGACTGGCAAAAAGAACACATCTTGGTTGGATTGTGCTAATAATTCTTCAAGCAATTTTAGCAAAGATGGTTTGTTTATATATATATATATATTGTATCAGCAGCCACTTTTTAATGCTTCTATTAAAGTTACGATTTCTCAACACTGTGTAAAATAGCTGAGAATGGCAACCTAAATATATGTTTAAATAGTGTTTGCTTTATTGAGTAATTTTCAAGAACTCTCACAATGAACATGGATTTTGCATGGTTTAAAAAACAATACATATTTTCTGTGTTTTGACTTGGAACATCAAATGATATTAATCCTTAAAGAAAATAAATATGAGAAAAGGAAACAGTTCTGATTGGATTTATTGCAGGTTTTTTCTTTTGTTGTTTAAATGTTTCAAATTTCAGTTTCTTTCTCATTGTAAAAGTCTGTTAGCTTTTTTTTTTCAGTTTCTGTTATCAAAGTTAATAAAGTGATTTTTAAAATTTTACACTAAAATTTGCATTTTAATTTGTAGTGCAAATTTCCCGGGACATATTTCTTTGTCATCTTGCCTAAAATGCAAAGCTTTCTGATGGAATTTCCCTAGCGTGGAAAATTACAAGTTTGCAGTCAAGAATTATATAAGCTCCGCAGTGAACCCTATGACCCTAAGAGAAAATACACTAAAGGTAAAAGTAAAAGTTTCCCTCGCACATATGTGCTAGTTGTTCCTGACTCTAGGGGGCAGTACTTATCTCTGTTTCAAAGCTGAGAGTCAGTGTTGTCCAAAGACATCTCCATGGTTATGTGGCCGGCATAACTAAATGCCAAACGTGCATGGAACGCCAAAGGTAGTTCCTGTTCTTCTACTTGCATTTTTACATGCTTTTGAACTGCTAGGTTGGCAGAAGCTGGAACAAGGAACAGGAGCTCACTCTGTTATGTGGCACTAGGGATTCGAACCGCCAAACTGCCGATCTTTCTGATTGACATGCTCAGCATCTTAGCCACTGAGCCACCATGTGTGTGTATGTATGTATGTATGTGTGTATATATATATAATATACTAGCAGCTCTAAAATTACTGCTGTTAAGTCACTGAAATGCCTGTTGAAATTGCTGTAAAGTACAGAGAGGTAAAACAACACATACAGTATTATTTGTTTTTTTTTCTGTCCAAGGCTAACTATTTTGAATGGGGTGTAGGGAGTGATTTTAAATTACAGAAGACAGTGAGGAACTGATTAAAACTTCAGTTCCATCAAGTATCTCACCCCCAGGTTATTTTTTCTCTTAAACAACAGAAAATGTTCTTAAGAGATCCAAGCAGAATTATGTCCTATCACCTCTAATGGTCTTCAATGAATATCTGGATTTGAAATAAGTTGTATTCCTAACATGTTACAAACAAAACCCAAAATAAATCTTTTAAATATATGTAAATATGTAAACACAGTGCACAAGACTCAATCCTGGGCCCCTTAAAGTTCGATACAACAAAGTTCTCACAGACTTGTAAATTACAGGTTTAGGCCCTAAACGAAGGTAGCAGGATGTGAAGCCGGAATCAGCTAGGTTTTTTTTTAGTAAAATTCAAGATCTGGTGCCTATTTCAAAACCAAGCTTCAGAAAAATCGTCTTGGTCACTGAAGACTTTCCTGCACATGTGGGAATTTTCTTGGTGAAGGGGATATTCAGAACCTGCCACCAAGCTCACTTTTCTTTTCCGAGAGATGTACGGCTTTCCAGAAGGAAGACTTTCATATTTTGTTAGGTGTTGCCTGCAAAAAAAAAATAGTAGTGATATGATTTTACTGTACTACTTGAGCCACAGCATGTTATAATCCTAGGAATAATTCTTAATGACATACACAATTGAAAGGGATCGTGTTTTAACTTTTCCTTATCCATAATTTTCCAGAACAAAGTTGAATAAAAACAAATACAACACACCTTACGGCTTTGAGACTCAATAATCTGGGTCCTGGACTGATGTATAGATATACACATTTGAGGTCAATGGCACTTGAACACAATGTCAGATGCTGTTGCAAGCAGCACAGGGCCCTCCTGAGCTCTGTTTTCACTGGCAGAGGGTTGCAGGAGGTGGTGGCAGCTGAAAACAGAGCTCGGGAGCCTGTTTTCATTGGCAGAAGCACTGTGGGCTGGTCATTTGATATTTCTAGGGCGGCTCCGCGGGCCATATCTAAGTACCCCGTGGGCCAGATCCAGCCCCTGGGCCTTGATTTTGACACCCCTGCTCTAGACTATACCTCTAAGAATTCTTAGAAGTCACACCAAGGGTGGTGGTGAAGATTGGTGGAAGATTGAGATATTTCTCTAAGCCTGCCTATCATGGTGCCAATCTTGATCATACCTTGTTTGCTTTTTCCCTCACTTTGACTTGGAGAGAAAAAAAATTGCAACCTCCTTTGCAATGCTGAAGGGGTTGTAAAAATTGGCACTGTGGTATAGAGTAGCTATCCCTGATCATACACTGTTAGAATACTGTGATAAGTCTATCTGACAGAATGTTGGGAAAGTTGGATTGGTAATGAAATTAGGACAATCAACAACTCTTGATTAGGGACTAATTTAAGGGCCATGCAATCTCCCATGCAAATTGCACTCTAATTTCTTATTTACTTAACACATAATGGTCTTCTCCAGAATCAGAAATCAGAAAGCTGCATTAAAATGCTAGGCAGATCAATAAACATTTCTAGTTGCTTCCTACCTAAATGGACTTTCGGTTTTATCCATCTGCATGCAGACCAAAAACGGGTATTGTGAAAATTTCACTGTGGTGACAAAATCCAACATTGCTTCGATTTCAGAAGTGGTTTCCAGGCCAGCCTTCACAAACATAGCATCCACAACAAAGTTACCAACCATGGCCACAGCTCCCCTGAACAAAACAGAAGTGGGGGAAAAAACGAGTGGTCAAAAATTGAATATTATATTGGAATAATATCTCCCCCAACTGATAACTTTTAGACAAACTGTTCTGTATAAAAATCTCATTTCACATTGGCTTTCCTGTCGGCACCCGTACATTACTGACTCTTCCTAGTGGTCAAACATTGATGTTGATAAGGATAGGAGGAGAAAAAGAAAAGTGGCTATGCAGTTCAAACATTAATTCCTGATGTTTCAGGAATTCACACCTTGGTCAGGACAGGAATGATAAATCCAATTCCCTACATTTCACTGAATGACAAATTGCAACATTTCTCAATCTAGCTTTCTGGTTGTGATCATAGTAATCTGACAACTGAACATAGTAATCTGACAACTGAAACAATATGGGCTCACCACAAAAGTTCTAAAGTATTGTTCCACTAATTATTTTACTCAAAGCTGATAAGGGCAAGATCCATGGAGAGCAAATGATGGAATATTGCCATACAAACCATATAAACATCAGTTGCGAGTTGACAATCATATGGAGGAAATTTTGACTTCACCTTCACATGACTATCAACTTGCAACTGATGTTGGGATGCAAGTATACAATGCAGGGGTATGTATCATGTTGTTGCAATAGACCATGTTTTCACTATCAGTTTGTACCAGATGTTTCGACTATGGTTTTCAGAATCGGGTAGAAAAAGAATCTTCTGCAGAAATAGTAAAGTTACATTTTCTCTATTTTCCACATGTTTTCATACAACTATTCTTTCAACTAAGGATCTAAGTTCTTAAAATGTTTAAGAGTTGTACACACTAACTAAATTTAAAATCCCTCTTGTTGATGATGAAATCTAATATCTCCATCAAGAACTAACTTAGATGTCTCACCGATTTTTAACTTTTGTTTTGGATTCTCTGTACCAAAGGCTGAACTCCATTCCTCCTGATACATCAATTGTCATACCTCCTTTGAATTCAGCATTGCAAATCAGCCCAGATTGCAGCTGGATAGCCTAAGTACAAAAAAAAGAACACATAATATTTCTTGCTTATCTAGTATATGTTCAGATTAGTAATGTTTTAAGGTAAAGGTTCCCCTCGCACATGTATGTTAGTCGTTCCTGATTCTAGGGCATGGTGCTCATCTACGTTTCAAAGTCAAAGAGCCAGCGCTGTCCAAAGACGTGTCCATGGTCATGTGGCCGGCATGACTAAACGCTGAAGGCGCACAAAACGCTGTTACCTTCCCACCGAAGGTGGTACCTATTTTTCTACTTGCATTTTTACATGCTTTTGAACTGCTAGGTTGGCAGAAGCTGTGACTAGAAATGGGAGCTCACTCCGTTATGTGGTGCTAGAGATTCAAATCGCTGAACTGCTGACATTTCTGATCAACAAGTTCAGCGTCTTAGCCACTGAGCCTATAGTAATATTTTAGAAAGACACAAATACTTTCTGTCTCTACTTCCCTGTCTCCCTTTTTGAGTTTTCCCTTTGGTGTAAAGAAACATCTCTCCACTCCATGCAACTGGGCTACTCAATCAGCTGAGAACAGAAGATTTTTTATTAGGATTTTACTTTATTTATATGCCGCCCTTTTCCCTGGGGGGGACTCAGGGCGGCTCACAATCCAGGGGGAGGGAAGAACAAAACAAAGTACACACATAGAGACAGTACATCATTAAAAAGGGCAACAGTCATACTATTCGGGTGGGGTTAAAGTCTTTAGCCCCAGGCCTGTCGGGACAGCCAGGTTTT